GCACAGAGGAAATGATGCTCGAGATGGTTCAAGTTCGTATAGCAACAGGGGTGACCAGAGTGGTTTGAACGGCTGTTGTACTGCGATGTGGAAAGCAAATGGAAAAACTACCAAATTATCAGTTTTCCTGGATAGTCTCTTTCCAAAAACAGAGATACCATGTATGCTAGATGTTTCCTCTGGAGACAAAACAAATCGGAGGGGCAGATAGAAGTGACCAGAAGATGAGGAAGAAGACGTAAGAAGATGCTGGATGACCTAGGGGACAGAAGAGGATATTCTCATTTGAAGGAGCAAGCTCTAGATCGCATCAAGTGGAGGAACTGTTTTGGAAATGACTGTGGACATGTCGTCTGACAGATTACTGATGAATGAATATTTCGTGATTTGTTATGCTACCCATTTGCTAAAGATTGACAGGGATAGTTAAGACGATATGGTGGCTAGCTATGTCCTCTCAACCTGGGATTCTGTTTGTGGCAAGTTGCTATCACATCCATGTGCCAGTCAGAGGAAAGTCTCCATTACTGCTCACAGTATATTTGATAATGTTCAAAGTATCTGGTCTTTAACACTTTTTCCTTCACTTTGTATCGTAATGCCACTGAAATGTGGCTTCGTTTATGTACCTTTGCGCATATTGACTAGAATCTCTGATTTTTAAAATAAAAATGTAAAGTTGTCCCTGTGCTCAACTAATTAACCACTACACCATGAAGGCGTATGGAGAAGTGGATGTTTAGTTTCACATTTTCTTGACTTCAGCACTAGTTGGATGTGAGTGGTCAGCTTTACATCCCAGCCGCTTTACCCCTGGGGAGAGAGCCCCCGATGCCCATTGGATAAGAGGTTGGGTGTGCCCTAGAGTCGGTCTGGACGATGTGGGGACATCTTGACGCTACCGGGACTCGAACAGCGATCCCTTGCTCGTCCAGTCCATAACCAGTTGCTGTACTGACTGTGATATCCTGGCTCCCTGTTCTATGTTATATCTTATAAAAGCGAGAAAAATGGTAACTGGGTTTTTTGGACTTCATCCATCGTCCAGTATTCCAGAAAACCTGAGAAATCAGAATTTTGGAAACTGGAACTGTTTCTGCCTTCAAGTGGGGTTGGGAGACACCTACTCTGTTGAGTCCCTTATAAAGAGCTAACCTCAATCACTGGACATTTCAGGTCAGTATAATTACAGCTATATAAATACCCGAGACAGAGCCTGGTCTAAGGTATATATATATATATAGTTGTAGATTCACTGACATAGCTTGTCCAGTGATTGAGGTTAGCTCTTTATAAGACAAAGCCTGGTCACATATATCTATATAGATGTAGTTACACTGATGTGGGTTGTCCAGTGATTGAGGTTAGCTCTTTATAAGACAAAGCCTGGTCACATATATCTATATAGATGTAGTTACACTGACATGGGTTGTCCAGTGATTGAGGTTAGCTCTTTACAAGGGATCCAACATAGCAGGTGTCTACCCCCTCACAAGGGGATGTAAACAGACCCAGTTTCCGAAACATTGCATTTTCTACTTTTTTAGAATACCAGGGGATGGACATGGTCCACAAACATGATAATTCCGAGTTTTATGCAGCATTATCAGGGCCCTTCAGAATCTGCTGGTAATCGCTTTCAGTTGCAAGACGGATATCGATGTCATGATTTAAAAAAAAAGTCATAATAGTAATAAGGATTAAAACATGTATGTGCTGGGTGCTAATGATATGATTGATATTTCGTCCTTGCAACAGATCTTGCTATGTTTCTGGTTTTAGCTCATGTACCAGTCCAGTTGGGTCCAACAGAACACCTGCCGCTTCCTCCTGTGGGGTATCAGTTGGTGCGTGATCCTATCACAGGCCACTTCCTTCTGATACCAGCCACCAACATAGGTATGCCATAATTCTGTAAAAATCAATAATTAACTACTTCCCCTCCACATGGAGATTTGACCCAGTATTACATTCTGTAACACTGGATCTAACGTCAAGCCATTCTCGATACTCATTTCTTGAATGAATTTTGCTCGTATGTTGGCTCTGTTATTGGTTAGCTATCACGTACTCTTCTTGGAGCCATTTCATGGGGTTCATGTTTAGGACTAATTAAAAATACCATGTAACTTTGACAGTATATAAAACTAATTTTGCCTGTGGTTCTGTATGGGCATTAAACTTGGTCTCTGACATTAAGGGAGGGGGCCATATAGACTGAGGGTGTTTGAGAACAGGGTGGGCCGAAGAGAGATGAAGTGACTTGGAGAAAACTGCATAATGAGGAGCTTCATAACTTGTACTCTTCTCCAAGTATAATCAGAATGATCAAGTCAAGGAGGATGAGATTGGCAGGGCATGTAGTACGAATGGGGGAGAAGAGGGATGCATATAGGATTTAGGTGGGAAAGCTATTCAGAAAGAGACCACTAGCAGGACCTAGATGTAGGTAGGTGGGTAATATTAAGGTGGATCTTAGAGAGATACGATGGGGTGATATGTTCTGGCTCAATCTGGCTCAGGATAAGGACTGGTGGAGAAAATGGTACAATTATTCGGGTTCCATAAAATGTTGGGAAATTCTTGAGTAACTTTACAACTGGAGGCTTCTTAAGAAGGATCGATCTCCATGGAGGTAGTTATGTAAATTTGACAGTGTGGAATTTATATATTTTAATTGGAATTTTATAATATTTACATATGTTCAGAACACCTTCAACGTGCAGTTCTGTGGCCAGGCTACCCCACGACCACAGCCACCGTACAACCATCGCTTCAGGTTACTACAACGCAGCAACCGGCTACACAACACATCCAACTGTTCGAACCAGCCGAGCCTCCTGAATACCTAGCAGCGCCAGCGACCCGTATCTTGGTGCAGCCACAGCTCACAATCGCCACAGCAGCTGCCGCCACTGCTGTCACTGTGGCCACAGACACCATCCAGGGTGTGGCAAAGCGCACCACCAAGCAGCAAGCCACAACCCTTATAAAGATTGAACCTGCTCATGCTGTGAGTACAGTTGCATTGTCCCACTACATGCATTCCATTCCCCGCTTATAGATTGGCACCTGTATTGCTCTAGAGCCAGTAACGCACAGTGTTGTGTCTGCTGTTAAGGATGGAATAAATATATGATGGTCTGCATCTTTGTGGGGCGTCACATATTCTGAGACTTATGCAAGTACACTTATACTGTCTTTATATTGTCACGTGGATGTGTGACAGTAGACTGGTTTTGAATTGATTATTGGATTTAGTGAACTCATACAGAATGTAACTACAAGTAACTGTAGCGCATTTTTGGTTCACACACTACAATTGACTACAGCACACACTATGTCGTATCAGTCTGCTGTATCTTCACTGGTTGTCACCTAGTAATGGCTTCTGGTGTTACAGCTTCCTAAGCTTCTGTGTTCATGCCCTTACTGGCCAGCGTCTGTCTCGTAATTAATTGAACTCTAGACATGTCCCGCTTATAAAATCTCCCCTTGACCACACAGAAAGCACCACTTTTAACAGCTCTTCTAATGTTGGGTCACACAACTATCGCACAGACCCCATAAACACACCGTTTTTCCAGTTAATCAATTGGTGCATGTTTAGGGATCTGTTGCCTAGCAGTGGGTGTTGTTTACAGAGTCATTGCTCAGCAATGGGTCTGTATATTTTGACATGAGGGCTCAAACTATCCTGCTGCACAAACCTGCATTGACATGAAACCGCTGTGTATCTTGTATAGATGTTGCGTAGGAGGCCACGTTTTAAGACATGCACATATCCAGAAGAGAATAAAAATATTGATCATGGATCTCAAGGAGATTGAAGCCAGGACTTACTGTGCTGGCAAAGGCCAGCAGCAGTTTAACTGACCAATCTACTGACAGTGGGGAGTTGAGTTGGAACAATGGGTTAGTTGGGTGAAAGTTGTCAGGCATCAATAATGGAAGCAGAGGACATTGTTGGGATTCATTAGCAGGCATTGGTTAGTGAGGATAAAGTGAGAAGATTCATTGGGTGCTGTGGTGAATAGAGTAATATTAATAATATTAAGAGTATAATAATTACTTGTAGTTAAGATTTAGAATTGGTCACTAAATGCGATTACTGATCCAACCCCCGTTTCTGGTCAGCAAACACATGACAATATTTTGTGCGGGTTTTGTTACCAGGTATCTGAATGTAATGGAGGCACAACAACGGGTATTGTAGTGGATAACACCAACTTGAAGCCAGTGCACCGCATGTCACCAGTCAGCACATCCAGATCCACAACGACAGATGTTTCTGTAGCAACAAATACAACCCCGGCACCCCAGACAGGCTCGATGTTCCCCACTGGTGCAACCACAGCAACAACAGCACTTCAAGCACACTTCTACTATGAGCACCACACCCATCATCCCACGGCAACCACTACTGCGGCCATTGTACAGTTGTCGCAAACACCCCAGCCCTCTGCGTCAGTGCAGACTGATAACGGGAAGCGGTCACAGGTAAGAGAGTTCTAAGGAACTCTAATGCTCTACCTTACTGTAATTAATGTTTCTATACTTATTGCAATTAAGCGGCCTCCGTAGTCTAGGGGTAACGTTCCCACCTCATGACTCAAGGTAAGCGGGTTCAAACCCGGCGGAGGTCGTGGAATTTTTAAGGGTGGAAAAATTCAAGGAACAAGTCCTCTGGGAGGGACTTTAAGCCATGGGTCCCGTGTCGTAGATTTACAGCATGTAAAAGATCCTCATGTCTCTAGGAGACCTCTGAGCAAAATTAGGCAAAAAAAAAAGTTTCCCGCCCAAGTAGTTTCCAATGCCTCCGGTAGATGGGGAAGCATCGGGAACCACTGCCAGCTTCACTGGCTGAATGGGGCTGATAGTGAGCACCAGTACCGGTAGGGTATGACANGGCTCCAGAAGATGGATGTATAGTCTGTGTCTGGCTTTAACAATTTAAATCGATTCTTCTCAGGCAACATCGCCAGTGAATCCTGCCGAAACATGCCTCACTCCTCCTCCCGAAACTACAACCAGCCAATCAGAATGCGAAGATGCGAGTGCTAGCACAACAGCTGCTGCTGTGTGTGGTACATTGGACCAGGGAAATGTTCAGCAGCAAGCCCCTGTGACAGTGCAGGATGCCAGTAATCAGACTGATACACCTCCTGTCAGTGAGGATGAGAACTGCTGTGAGTCTGTGCCCCTCCAAGAGAAGTTGCACCCACATGATCTGCAGGTGAGTTCAGTGGATCAGTGTGTTGTAAGATTCAGCGTCATTCTATTCCTTGGGGCTCATTAAATCCCTTTGTTGTGATGTCTGCCATTTTCTGGATAGTGTTTTGAAGTTCGTATATGAACAGTTTTAAAGATTGTGACTTAGTTCTGATTATGCTGTCAGGTGGCAGAAAAGTAAGGAATGTTGTGATATGAATGTTTTCGTTCCCAACACTTCAGCACCTGGCTTACCTCCCATCCCTAGCACTTTTAGCAGTACAGTAGTAGTTTGCAGCATTTAGCGGTAAAGAAATGAATAGCAACTGATCTACAGGTGTCCTAAAAATGTATCAAAATGTAAAAAAAAAATTGCGCATAGTGGGGGGTTGAGTCCAGTCGAGTCCCCTTGGCATGGCGCCCACTGTTTGGCCTATTGTACCTGCCTCAGATGATTATGACGATGGAGAATTTGGTCAAATAAAGATTTGCAGGGGAAGCTGAAGCACTTGGAGAAAACAAAGATTTGCAGGGGAAGCTGAAGTACTTGGAGAAAACATACCCCAGCGCCACTTTGTCCACCACAAATCCAACTTGACCAGACCCGGGTTTGAATCTAGGCTGCCGTGGTGGGAAGCCAGTGACTAACCACTTGAGCTGTGGCGCGGCCTTCTCAAAATGTAGCTACAAGCACCATCTAGTAACAGAGGAAGAACTGCTTGCTCACGGAACTTTCAAAGAATTAAGTCCTTGATGTCTTGCCAGTTTTTTCCCCTCTTCATGTTATTTTCCAGTACATAGTTAAACCATATGTTTTTATAATAGGCTGCTGTAAAAACAGTGCGTAGCTTATTTTTCTTCTTCTATGGCAAAACAGCAGATGAATAGGGTCCAAGGTCTATCCCCCCCACCCATTTTTTTTTGTAGGATTCCTTGGACAGGATATTACTCTATTGCAAGGCCTTTACCAGCACAGAAAAATTCATACCCAAAGTGGGGATCAAACCCAAGATTCTGTTGTTTGGGTGGTAGAAGATGGTACATGCCTTAGATTTCATGGGCAGTGGGCACTGTGATTGGCATGGATTGTACTCTGACTAAAGATATATTTTCTATCTCAGTTCTGGCCTTGCATTTTTGTAGGAGGCTGCTAGAATACATTTACATTTATATTCTACATTCAGATGGAGTATACAGATAAGAATTTCCTAACTGAAATCTTTTTGAACAGAACTATAGTTCATGTTATGTAGGTAAACATTTTTCTTATTATATATTGTTTAGGGTGACTTCAGAGATAATTTATCAAGTTATTTTATGGTAGTTCTCTTTTTGATTTTCAAAATACTGATGTAGTTCATGCCCAAAGTAAAGTGATGGATGTTAAATAAGATTGTGTATTGCATACGAGAGTGTATTAATTAAAATAGTTTGAATATTAATTAACAACTTGCTGAAAGGAGTCGTGTAATTTTGATGAGATATTGACTATGAAGCTATGTCGCATTAAACATAAAGTCATAATATACTCCACATGTGAATGTATTAATTTAAATGGCCTAAAAGTTAATGAAGAAAATTCTGATAATATAATAATTTGGATAAGAATTTTAGTAGATGGGGCCTTTTCAGTATTCTCATGTCTGTCTCCCATTTGTTATGTTCATGAATTTTCAAGATTGTCCATCGTAGCTAAGATATTTTCATTTTGGTTGAAATTTAAATAATCTTTATTTTTTTATTTATAACTTCAGCCAAAACAGGAAGTACCTGAAAGCTCTTCAAGTGATGTGAAACCACTTTGTAATGAAGTGCCATCTACATTTGAAGCAAGACCACATGATGACAGTCATGTAGTGGACTTGAGTGGGCTCGAACTATTGTCAAATAGCATCGAACAATTTGAAAACCATCATATCCATCATAGTGATGGAGTAATAAAAGGTGACAACTCTTCGACCAGTGTTAGTGAAGTTTCTTCCCATGTCCCATCCAAGTTACAAACTTGTTCAGGCAGTTTATCTGATACAAAACCAGAAATTCCAGATTCACGACCTGCAGATGAGAAGGCAGCCGAAACACTACAGATGCTTTGTCAGCAGTCAGCAGTTAATCAGATGAAACCCTCAGCTGAGAAATTATCAGTGAGGGACGATCTGGAGAGTACATTTAATGATGATGAATCAGCCTTTGGTGAAAACTGTGATAGCAAAGATGTGAATGCAACTTCCGGCCAGATTTCCACGAGTAGTTTCAGTGACAGTGCAGATAACAATGCAGAGTGTGCTAAGGTTTTTGGTGATATGTGCTTAAACCAGGTTTGTGAGAGGGTAGAGACAGTGGCAAGAAGTTTGAATGGGGGAACCAACATGCTTGGTGGTCTCGGTTTGTTGTGCGCTTTGGCCGAACAGCGGTTTATGGAAGAAGTTGCCACAACTACCGAGAACTCTCCATCAACATCAGAGTCTTCCGGGGTGACTGGTGATGACATCCATAATTCTTCATCTCTGGATCTGTCAGCCAAGTTGTTAGGAACTTCTCCAGAAGTTGCTGGGGCAGGTATGGATGTGAACCGTAATTACAAAACGCGAAAGTCAGAACGGGAGTGTAAGAAATTTATTGCAAACAAAGTAATGCAGTATTACCATCATCACAGTGGCACGGGAAACAGTAGTGGGTCCAGCAGTCCGCAGCATTGTTCACAGCAAATGTTGCAAGCCCAACAAGTAGTGTCATTGTGTGCAAGTCCGTCCTCGTCATCAGCTGAGATCATGGATGCCATGGAACTCAATATGCGTATGAAGTTAGCCGAACTACAGCGTAAATACCGCGAAAAGCAACGTGAACTCTCTAAACTCACTCCCAAGAAGTCATCACTTTCTGACGTCTCTTCAAACGAAGTGTCAGATGTGGCCGTATCTGCAAGCCCAGCAAAGAGGGGTCCAGGTCGACCGAGGAAAAAGTGCAACAAACTGTGCTTTGATTCCCCACCGTTGTCACCACCTGGTGGTGCAGTCTTAGGAGCACCGAGACCCAGGGTTGGGCGGCCATCACAGCTTAAAAGCAGAGATGCGCATGGGCTGGCGTCAGCTCGAGAATTACCACCCCCAGTGCTTGAGAAGGTAAGTGTTTTGAGTGCATGTATCGGTTTATTGTTATTGCCTACTATTGGTATCATCATTGGCATTACTTTCTGTTTCTTTTCTTCTCATACTCTTTAGGATTTCAAACTTGAATCTGGAATTGCTTTATATGTATATAAGGAAATCTCAGTTGTTATAATGACTTGGCTTTGGGCTTGACAGCTGAGGAAATGGGTTCAATTCGTGGAAGGGGAATGAGATTTTCTACTCTCCGCAGTGTCCAAACTGGCTCTGGGGCCGACTGAGCCACATCCAGTATTTTCTGGGAGCTCTCTTCCCATCGGTATAGTGGCCAGGGTGTGAATCTGATCAGCAATTAGCACATAACAATAATAAGGAAAATGTATTGAAATGATGTGGGCATTTGTGTCATACGTGTCCTCTGGGTAGTGCAAAATGAGCAGAAAACCTGGCAAAGCTTCCTAAAAGAAGAAGCCAGAACTTGAGTGCTCTCTATTGGGAAGCAAGAAGCAAAGTGGATTAAATGATCCCAAATGCAGCCATTGGAAACCAACCAAATAATTGTATTATGGACATGTAGGCCACAGGTATATAAAATCTGGATTAAACATGCCTTAAAATGGTGCAAAACTTGTTTTCTTTTTGGGCCTACATACCTACATACTGTAGCATACCACTGTTTGATGCATTCAGACTTTGCATTTGTTAAACCCTTAGTTACCTGCATGTGTACCCATAAAAACTCACATTGTAGGTTGACAGTTGCATTAAAGCATTTACATTCTTTATGCCACTATGCAGTAAGTACTAAACACAGATCTTAACAAAGTACATCTTATAAAAGTTCACGATGGTTTTATTAATCTCTTGGAAATCATGTTAACGGAGTTAAATTGTGCTTTATAAACATTTTTGGAGGTACAGCTTATGTATTGTATTGAAGTGACAATACCTGTTTGAGGTGCTTCAAACTGTCCAGTATTTGATCTAGTTCTAGGTCAGTTTTCAGAGATAAATTTTTTGACTTGAGTTTCTAATTAAAAATGATAAATATCAGTGAATGTATATGTGAAAACAGAAAGAACAAAATAAATGAAACAAGTGATTCAGTTGTGAATATGGTATAGATATACATCTCTCATGAGGAGACATCTTGTGTCCTGTCTTCAGGTTACTGAACTGACTGCACGTCCACGTTCAAGATTCGATACTGATGACGATTGTGCTGCCCCCAAGTTGAAAGCCTCTAAACTGGATATATTGAAACCACCAACACTAACAGCCAATCGAATCTTGACATGTGCCAAATTCAAACCATCCGCAGTTGCTGGTAACAATAATAACATTGTTACAAAGGGCCTCAAACTTCCACAGTGTAACGTTAATCTGGTGAAACTTGCAACGAACCATCAAGGGAATGTCACGAAGGTGAAGGATGCATGTGGAAAGCCAGGCAATGAATCAAGTGGCACTTGCAAGAGTACTGGTGCCTCCCTGTCTGTACCGACAGGCGAAGGTAGAAGTAAACATGGGAGTATCACATCAGTAACAGAGCTCACTGTTGTGGATAAACAGCGGAGTGGTAAGTAAAAATTAATCATATTATGTTGATACATGTAAGAAACTGTTATAAATGTTTCGTAAAATTACCATTAGCATAGCTTTTAGTTTTTGCTCTTTGTATGTTTGAAGCTTTTAATAATTTAAATATCTTTCACTTATTTAACATTTTCATGATAATCGTCCCCGTAACCAGCATTCATGGGAACCTGGCTTATGGTGTTGCTGGTATGATGAACCTGGTGCTTGTGTTGATATCTGACACTGTGACTTGTTTACTCTGGACTATGTAGAAGTTCATTTATTCATATTACTGCCTGTATGTGGAGGACTTAAGTTCAAAGGAAGTCATATTTAAGCTAAGCTCAAAGCTTCTTGATGATGGTGTGACACATTGTTTAACACCGTTAGTTTGGACTTGTCTCCTTATTGTCAAATGTTAGTGACTAGACACAGGGTCTGGATTGGTAATTGGATTTATTGAACACTTACAACTTGTAACTACAAATAATTAGCAGTCTCACTGGTTCTCACAGCATACATAGAGTCTTCTATTTGTTATTCTGTAATCATTAGTCATTGCTAGGTAACAGCTGCTGACTGCCAACTCTGACTTCCAACTGACTGTCGACTCCATTGGCCCTCACTATATAACCTCAGCATGGACTTCACAGAGAACATCTCTTTCAAGAGTTCTTTTGTTATGTATCTATTCATTGTCATGGAAGTGTGTTTACCATGCTGTTACATGGCAGTAACAGTCTCTTCTTGTTCCACTATTCTGGCTTACAGCTGTCGTTCCACAATATCAAAGGGTTCAACAAAGTAGGTTCTATTTTATGTCATTAAACTGTAGATAGAAATTGAAGTAATTTCCAAAATGTAGCAGTTTTAATGAACTTGAATGTTGGACAAAGTCTAAAATAATGGTTTTAAACAAAGTCACATTTAGTTTTAACATGTTTCTTGTTTCTGGAGTATGTCTGGTTTATAGTTTCATTTTCATGAAGGACTTAAAGAAGGTTGTTTTGGATGGAGTTGATTGTGCAAAGAAACAAATCCAAATAAGACAACGTTAAGAAGATCACAGTAGGAATATACTTAAATATCTGTGTGTAGATTACATTAGGAAATCAAATGGTGCTAGTTCTTGAAATCATTCAGTTATTGATTAATGAATTCATAACTGTTTTATTGATCACCTTCTTTGGAAATTACGACAGGTTTATTTTTCTATTTTATGTTCTTGTTTTCGTATGTAAAATAATATCCTCTTCAGGAGTACTGTTATGCTGTTGAAGCTGACTGAGAGAGGAACTCCTCACACTCTAATGCACATGTCCAGTCTCCTAACAATAGAGGAGAAGCACAGAATGACTAATGTGACAGTACAGCGGGTACCACCAATACGGATCCTCCAAAAATTTCTATTGCTACTTACTTTTCAAATGGGCCGCACCATAGCTCAAGCGGTTAGTTGCTGGTTTCCCACCGTGGTGGCCCGGGTTCGATCCCAGGTCTGGTCAAGTGGGATTTGTGGTGGACAAAGTGGCGCTGGGGCAGGTTTTCTCCGAGTACTTTGGTTTCCCCTGCCAATCTTCATTCCACCAATTGCTCCACAGTCACCCTCACCTATCATCTGGGGATGGTACAATAGGGTAGAAGTGGCCGTAATACAAGGGACTTAGTCCTACGCCACTAGCAGTAAAAAAAATACTTTTCAAATGGGGCAGTCAACACATTAACTTCGAAAATTTCCTAACTGGGCCTGAAGTTTATCACATCATGACAAAAACGTATGGAAACAGTTAAAGGACACTGTTACCTTGTGTTGTGGGACTATGCAACAAGGTGGAAGGTCGCGGGATCGAATCCTGATGAGGTCATTGAATTTTTTCAGTGTACCTAATCCTTCTGGTTGCACTATGGCCATGGGGTTGATTCAGACTCTAACAGAAATGAGTACCAGGAATATTCTTGGGGGTAAAGGGCTGCCGGCACGTAGGGCTAACAACCTTACCGCCATCTGTGAGCCGATTGTCTAGAAAATGTGGGAACTTCAACATCTCACAACCCTATGGGCCTGCATGGCCTGTTACAGGGATACCTTTACTGTACTATTTTACTTATATTGCACATGTGCACCATTTTTTACTGACAGAATTTTATTAGTATAAAATTTTAACGTCACTAGTCTGAAGTTGTAGTTAGGATCTTCATATTTGGTTTTGATTTGTGATTTGTTTCTGAAGACTCCACATTTTGTTTTCACTGGTGTTGGCTTCCCTGTACTCAACTTTGTACTGGTTGCTTCATGGTCTTCCTACCCAGTGCTTTCAGTGTTACTCGTCTTGTATTCAACTCTGCCATTCTAACATGGTAGCTACAGGACCAGTCTGTACATCTAAATGTATAGTACACAATAAAATGAAAAATAGCTATACTTCAATCAGTTGAAGTCAATTAATGAACACACAATATTATGCGTCGCGGCCCCAAAGAAGTATAATATGTTGGTGTATCTCATAATGTAAATTGTTTGCTTTATATATATATATATATATATATATATATGTAGCCCAAAGATACCGATGAATTATGGGAGTAAATTGTATGTGTAAAGTTTTTTGTACTTGAGAGTTTTATGCATGTTGAAAAACAATACAGTTACCTAGGTTGTGTGGCACAAAAGAAGACCATAGAAAGGAATTTTATCCATGTTAAATGTGTGGTTTGGCTTATAATATAGTGATATAAATGTTCACTATAGTCGATTTTTGATAATTTTGTATCTTCCAATCAGTGCCAGGTATGAAAACCTTACATTTTCCAGTACATGAGATTTTTGGTTCTCCTAGCATTTACTATTAAGAGTACAGTCTTATGGAGTGTGGTCACATGTAGTTGGGTAGATTGGTGCCAACGTTTGAAGGCATCTGCTGCCTCCATCTTCAGGGTAGAAGAGTGAGATACAGGAATGAAGAGGATAGTTAAAATGTGCTCGTTTCAGGGCCTTATTTATATTGTTTCCCCACTTTCTTCTTCTTGCACTTCTTTTATTGNAGAGGGGGTGGATTTCCCCATGCACTTAGACCAGTTATTGGTCCATTGTGCGTCCCCCTTTAATTTCTACTCTCCCCATACCCTACTGGTACTGGTGCATGTTATCAGCCCCGTTCAGCCAAACAGGTCGGCCATCGGTACCTTATATTTCCCCATCTTCCAGAGGCGTTGGAAACTACTTGGGCGGAAAATTGTTGCCTAATTAATTTTTTACAGAGGTCTCCTAGAGACATGAGGATCTTTTACGTGCCGTAAATGTACGACACGGGACCCACGGCTTAAAGTCCCTCCCAGAGGACTTGTTCCCTGAATTTTTGCGCCCTTAAAAATTCCACGACCTCCGCCGGGTTTGAACCCGCGTACCTTGAGTCATGAGGTGGGAACGTTACCCCTAGACTACGGAGGTCGCTTTGGTTCACTCATAGCCTGGTCCCATTGCTTTCTTCCATGATGTACCACTTTTTTCATTACTCACCCTACCCTTCTATCCTGAAGATGGAAGCAGCAGGTTCCCTCGAAACCCTGGTATCCAGGTATCCATTCATCAAACTGTACAATGTTACATCCCACAAAATCATAGCCTTAATTCCTAATACATGTTAGGTTATGGGTTTTGTTTTTTTAAACTTGATATTAATGAATATAACATGAAATTGTGCTGTATTAAGTGTCTTGAAGCTATCATCTGTGGAGAGAAATATAGTGTAACCTTGTTATTATAATCTCAGATGGGAAAGTGAAGGATTAACAGAGCTGTGTATGCAGAACATTGTCACCATTGTGCTGTGAAAGACCAGTGGTTCCTTGCCTGCACTGGGTGTAAAGTGAGTTGAACTGCTTGAAGATAGTGTCCAATGGTGGGCTGTAGTGAACATCTAAATTGTTGGCTTTGAAGAGTACTGTGTTCTTAGATGTAAGGCCATGTAGGAACATACAGCCTCCATCTTCATAATTGAAGAACATTCCAAGCGAATAGCCAGAAAGAAGCAGGTGGTAAGCCTGAACCTGATCTCCCGAGATGGATGCACTATGTTTCTTCAAATTATCGGTGTATTTCTACCGGGCTGCATGGCATTACATTCCAGAAGGTGACACATCTCTTCAACATCCAGATCCTTTGAGGTTATAATAACTTGGTTTCACTTGGATGTTACCATCCTTCACGATGGTAACAGAGTTGAATGTATTGAGACGTAGGGTGGCTATGCTTGGTTGCAGCCTTGTCCAATCCAGCCGGCCACACTTTTGGCTGGAAACCCCCTGCACACCTCACCCTCATGTCAGGTGAGTTTTTCAGATTGCAGGAGTGACAACTTGCCAAATCTTGCTGCTTATTCTACTTGGAAGTTAGCATGTTTTAGCATGTAACCTGACATTGACCCATTACGATTTGTTGTGTAATTATTTGGTGATAACGTTGTAGAGTGTTACAGCTCATGAAAAGAGCTGCACATTTTAGTGTGCATGTCTGATCCAATCTTATTGGATGCAGTTGTAGTCTAATAAGGTACAGGTAGGCATCTCCACATTTAGGTGAAATTAAGGTACTATTATACTCGTGTTTTGAAAATACAGCAAATTATCCATATTTCCTGCATTGAGTGAACATGGTATGTTTTGTATAAGAATGTTATGAGGTAAAGAGTTTGTGAAGTTTGGCAATAGGTCTTTAAATAATATACACCCTGTGAAGATGATTATTTTGCGAAACATCAACATGATTGTTTCATGAAATCCAGTCTTCAGTTAAAACTGACTCTGGGTTGTTTCTTGTTGTATGACCAGAGGGAAAGAAGATTCAGTTATAGACGAATAGGCTGTAAAAAAGTAACAGTATATTCAGAGGTTTGTTTCATGTATGCTTGTGCTTTTACATGTTCTGATAAAATGTGATGTTTAATTTATTTTGAGTTGCATTTTTGAGTTAGTGAGGTGAATCCATTTTCCTTGCAAATCCCAAATACATTAGGAATTCTGAAAATGTGTGATGCATTTCTTACAGTTTGCATTTATTTAATGTTTTATATTAATAATTAATACTTAAAAAGTTAATGGCTATGTGTGTATGTGCATATATGCGAGGCACGCGGTAGCGTAGTTGGTTGAGGCACTATGCTACAAGCTGGAAGGTCGCGGGTTCAAGTCCCGATGAGGTCATTGGATTTTTTTACTTGACCTAATCCTTCCAGCCGCACTATGGCCATGGGGTTGACTCAGCCTCTAACAGAAATGAGTACCAGGAATGTTCTTGAGGGTAAAGGGCGGCCGGCGCATAGGGCTGACAAACTTGCCACCATCTATGAGCTGATTGTCTAGAAAATGTGGGAACCTCAACATCTCACAACCATATGGGCCTCCACGTCCTGTTACAGGGATACCTTTACTTTTTTACTTATGTGAATATATGCACGTACCCTCACTCCTGCAGGCTTATTTGTAGCCAAGTTTTGATTGTCCAAAATCATGGCAATATTATTCTTACGTGTGTGTGTATTCTCATGCAAACTTGTATGTCTCAATGATACATGGCTTGTGTGGGAAAGGGTGTGTGTGCGTGCGTGCACATGTGTCTGTGTATTCCAGTATCTCTAAATTAAGCTAAAAATAAAAATTTGTGGTTTAGTTACAAATTTTTATTAATTCACAGTGCATGTTTGAGACAGTTTGTGAATCAAAAGTTGCTTATATATAAATTAGTTATCAGCACAGAATTGTTAAAATAGTGAAAACATTCATTATAAACCTTTAATACTTTACACATTTGTATGTTCCTTAAATTGTTGTATTCCAATTGTGTAGGCATCATATTTATGACATAAATTGAAGAGAAAAGAGAGTTCATGTTCTGTTTAACTTCAATAAATGAGACCGAAGTGCAGAATAAATTTTATAATTGAATATTAGGGTATGTGATAAAGAATAGATTAATATATCTGCTTGTGTTTTATTTTAGGAGAGAATGATCCCTTGTTCTGGTTCAAAACTGTGGCAAGCAAATCAGCAAATGCACCGAAATCACAGCAACATGGAACCAATTCTCCATCTCTTGAGGTATGGGAACCATAACTATGCCCTACAGGCTTCATGCATATTCAGTAGGTAACTCTCAAACTGGGGAAGCCTTTGTTGACTGCTATGAACATCTTGTACAGTATTTCTAGGTATTTCAGGGACATGTAAAGATTTTGTTTTGAAATATGTCACCTGAGTTGAAATATAAATACAGGGGTTGGGCAAATAATGGAAACACTACAGATACTGTACACAGTTCTTTATTAGTATGGTGTTGGACCATCTTTTGTCTTCAATATGACCAGAATTCTTCTTGGAATGAACTCATCCAAGTTGTGTAAATGTTGTGTAGATGGTTAATAATACAGTGTAAGACTTTTAAAACACACACAACAAGAAGCAAAAACTAAAATATATTAAATGATATTGTTCATGCTCGTAGCTTACAAATTTTCATTTTAAACAGTGTGACATGAAATGGCTGCAAATGATTGTCTTAATTGAATTTGATATATTGAAATTGGATCAGTGTAATACCATGTTAAGATGCAGTTATAATTCTTTTATTGAAATGTAAGATCTTTTATTGTATGTTTCTCAGCTTGTCACACTCCTGTCTTAACATGTTATGATCACAGAAAAAAAATATTTTATATTTACATAACCTAATATAAACAGAAAATATTATCAATATATCTCCCATAGACTCATAAAAATATGCTCTACTATTATAATAAATACAACATACAAGAATTCTTCATAAATTTTGGACAGTTTTGTATAGTGGAAATGTATCTGCATTTTTATATTTTTGGGTACAGTCTTGTCTGAGCTACTACTCTCATTAATAATACTTCATCTGCATTATTCTTTCTTGTAGATCACAGAAAGCCCCAAGCCAAAGCTGTCTCCGTCCCCACCACCTCTCTCACCCTCTCTCCCTCCTTGTCTCTCATCATCGTCATCAACCTCATCGACATCGTCGTCATCGAAAAAACGGAAAGTGGGTCGGCCAAAGAAACACTTCTCTGTGACAGGTCGAGAAATTGCAACAGAGACCATAGTTGCAAAAAAACCCAAGTCAAAGAGCAGTCTAGTTGGGTTGTTGCTCTCCAAGTCTCGACATGCGAAACCCCTCCATATGAAACCTGCCCATTCATTATCTCATAAACCTGTCATAGATTCTCATGGGGACAGTTCGGTTCCATCTTACAGTAGCAGAGTCATTGCATCTCATAAATTGAATGGAAATTCATCAGGCAGCACAAGTTTGTACCACAAGCCTCTGTCGAACTCCAGTAGAAGTAATGCGAACAATTACTCAGACAGTGAGACCAATGGTTTTACTAAAGTTAGTGGAATTAGTGCTGGAAATGAACGTGAGAGCAACGGAGTCATGTCTAAGGCAAGTGGAACGTGTTTGACATTGACGGAGAGGAAGCCTAATAAGATTCGTCCAAAACTGAAAGCAGAGGCAAAAGTGAAGACATGGTCATGGTGTGAGGATGAAGATGCAGTGCCGATGGATTGGCCTGGAAGCAAGGTGAAACCTGTGGAGCCAGTTACCACACCCCCTGCACTGCTGAGCCAGACGTGTTGGACAAAGAAATCGGAGGTTAAGGTAAGGACAACAATGGGCATCATATGTCGAATGTGATGTGGCTCTAAACTATTTTATCTTCAGTCCAATATCTTTATGGGAGATTTTTCTGATGAACTTGTGTTGTCTGAATAAAAAATATATACAGTAAACCCTCGTTATAACAGGCCCAAGTGTAGCTAACAAGATCTGGCCCCGTACAGTTGTGAAGTTCTACAGATGTTGAGGCATTAAGAATGTTTTGTAGTAATAAAACTATTTAAAATAAAGAAAAAGAAATATGAAAACCTAAATATTCAAGTTGGGTGTTCTGTATTTCTAGTGTGTATTGCCTGTGCATCCTATGATGTACCTCTGTGGATACCCCTTCATTTGGTTATGGTGGACATTGGCAATAATAGACATCCCCCCCCCCCACTTGTCTTCAAATAGTAGGAAGGAGTACTTACTGAGCTGAGTTCCATTTCCATCTATCTGAAGAGGGGCAGAGCTAATCTCAAGAATATCATAATGTATTTTTGTTTTTATTCAGGCAATGGGTAGGGTCCAGACATAGTTCTACTGTAAAACTGATAGATTTGTGAGAGACCTTTGAAACTACTTCTCTGTGACCAGTTGCTAGGTTATGCAATGTTTCTTACAGTATATCTGCTTTCTGTGTGGTCTGTGCATGGCTATATAATGAGATTCCCAGAGTAACAGGGATTGACAGAATTAGTTCAGGGCAGTTACAAGTCAGTCATAAGCTGGAGGAGTGAGTCCAGAAGAATTTTTAGTTCCGAGGTTCCAGACTGATTGAAGATGAAGTAGCAAGAAGATGTCATAGCGCTAATTTCTGTGTTGATTTCCGTGGCTAGGAGACGATTAGTGGTTGCTGAGAATCCCGGTGCGTGTGCAATGGTGGACTGGAAAGTGTTAGCAATAGCACTATATTAATTGTAATTAAGAGAAGTTGTAACTGATGTGCTAATAAATCCAATCATCCAAACTAGAACCTGTTATTTTCGTCGTGTGTACCACCCTACACATGACATTATGTTGTATGTAGTATTAATTGTGTCAGAATAAAACTGTGGAACATGTTGGAAGAGGAAAGTAGAAGGTGGATGGGCACACTTTTTTCATACAGATGGCGAATTGTGATTGACATGTGTTTCTTTACTTCAGATGGAGAAACCTGCGGCGAAAGCACCCACGACATCTACATCAGAAGTCTCTCGGTCCAGGAAACGAAAGTCTGCTAGCAATGACTCAAAGCTGGTGACAGTAGCAGTGACCTCTACAGCTACAGTAATGACTAGTGGCTTGAACACATCTACAGTCACTACCACGACAGCCACTACAACAGCTGCAGTAACAACAACAACAACCACAACAACATCAGCAGCAGCAGCAACAACAACAACAACAACAACAAGTAGTAGTAAACCTTCAAAAAAGGCAAAACTTGTTCGGGAGAGACGTGACAAGCACACGGCTGATGGGCCTTCTCCGGCAAAGAAGCAGAAGAGGACCAGTCCAAGCTTTGGGCAAGGGACAGCCAGCAGTGAAAGTGAGGACATCCCCCTTAGCATGCTCAGCAAGCAGACCACAGCTGCTGTGCCCTCTCTGTCCACAGGTGAGAAACCTACTGAGCTTTGCTATCAGAATTTTATACTGTGATGTTGAGCAATAGGATGATTACTGAATCGTGGATTCGAAGGCTGTGGAAGGAAGTGGGCATGTGCCTTGAGGGGCAGACTGCCTCTGTGGTCTAGTGGTCAGAGTTCCTGGCTAGAGATACAGAGGTCCCACATTTGATTCCCGGCTCTGCCAGATTTTCTGAGAAGTAGTGGATCTGGAACGGGGTCCACTCAGCCTCGTGAGGATAATTGAGGAGCTATTTCAAGTAAATAGTGGCTGCAATCTAGAAAACCAAGATTAACGGCTGTAGGGATCCGTTGCTCTGACCACGTGACATCCTCTATCCTCTAAAGTTGGCCCTAACTTCGCCAACGAGCGCCGGTCGCTCAGTCGGTATGGTTCGCTTGGGGACTACAGGCCACAGGCTTTTTTTTTTGTTATGTGCCTGGAGGGCCTGAGGAAAAGAGTAGACCTGATTCAGCATATCTAGTCTCCAGGCTGAGATTTGAATCTGGGATCTCCTGAATAGAAAGCAGGATTGCTAGTCTCTCAGCCACTACACAGTTGATGCATTATACTAATATTGCATTGCGTGCTCCCAATTGTGTGAAGGCTATCCCAATTGTCTAGTGGTTAGCATACTAGCCTAGTAGTCAGAAGTGCCCACATTTTATTCCATCCATCGTTAAAATATGAAAGAATGGTTAAAAATCTGTCAGTATAACTACAGTTGGTTACTCAAAGTTGAAAGTAAAGTCGGCTCACAAAATATTACGTATATAATATATGTCTCAGGCAGTTGATTATACCCAACTCAGTTTTGGTGTAATTAATTGTTTTGGTGTAATTTATTTTTTTTCATTGCTAAAGCCAGTTAATCATGTCTGGACTATGGCATGCTGATAAGCACGTTTGGAACCTTCTTTGAAATGTCATTATCAGATTCATCCATTGATATTTCTCATGACAGTAATCACCATTCTTCACCATCGCCCCATATGAGTTCCAGCCATATTTCTGTCAATTTTTTAGGTTACCTTCACTTGGACCCTGGTCTCCTAATTTGTGATTTATTCATCATATTCATTTTTGATGCTGCAAAAGGAATCCCATTTTCATTGTTGAGAAACGTATTGATTCCGTTTTATCCTTAATTTGGCAAGTTTGTCTCTGTTTCTACTTTGAGATTGAGCCCAGTATCCTAGGTTTAGATTTTATATCCTTGATTCGTCATTTCCTGTTCTAAAACTTCATTATAATCTGCTTGCATCTCTCTCTTTTAATCCTTTTAGCTGCTTGTATCATAAGGGGAATGTAATAAAATGTAACCCCCATGTAATGTTCCTTGATTCAAGGTTATCCCTCACTGAGTTTTTGATGTCTGCTGTCTCAGGTCAACAATCCGTCTTAATTGACCTCTGTTTAAGATTTGTGTGAAGCCTCATGCTCAAATCTACTGGTCCCAGAAGAAAACTTGAAAGGTTGTTTCACTGAAATAACATTCAGCGCTTTAACTATGTCCGAATGCATTAAAATTTTCTTTTGACAGTTGGCCGTGTCAAAAATCAAGATAAAAACCAACTTTCAAAGATGTACGATTTATCTTTCATCAGGGTTTATGGGAGTTCCTTCTTGTTGCTTAGTATATCAATCAGGAAGAGGCATCATGTCAATGGCAGATGTATTATATGTACGTGTATATGCACCTGCTTGTGCACACACCACACGTGCATGGAGAAAGCCCATCATGTGTCCTTCAAAGAATAGGCTTTCATCATAAACCTTTGGAATAATCACCAGTATGGTGCTTACAGCTTTAATATGCCTTTCCACTTGTCTTGTACATTCTATTTGACAATGAACAAAGCAGGTGTCCAAAATATTGGCTTTTAATTGAGCTTTAATACCACTGATTTCCCTGGAAGGTCTTAATGTATGTGTTTTAAGTAAAAGTAAGTAAAGCTATCCCTGTAACAGTCCGTGAAGGCCCATAGGGTTGTGAGACGTTGAGGGTCCCACATTATCTAGACAATCAGCTCAAAGATGGCGGTAAGGTTGTCAGCCTTACACGCTGGCCGCGCTTTACTCCCCAGGAAAATTATTTAATTAATTTCCGGTACTCATTTATGTTAGACCCCAGGGCCATAGTGTGGCTGGAAGGATTAGGTCAACTGAAAAAAATCCAATGACCTCATCGGGACTTGAACCCGCAACCATAAAATAATCCTGTATTTAAGCATCCTGTTGCATTACTATATCTAAACGGTTTTATTGTACTATACAGTCTGACAACAATGCAACAAATTGTTCTTTCTTTCACTTTCACTTTCAGCACATGTTTTGGCCCCAAATGGTCATCTTCAGGTGCCTCACTCTGCTAAAACTGCTACACTGCACTAATATTATCCATTCATGACTTATGAAACTGCACGCTTCATGATTCAGAATGTCATAATCATAGTCTAACTGGTATGCGCTGAAAGAGTTGTAGTTGTAGTTCACTTAATTTAAATCAAACAAAATCTATTAAGATTTTTCTATTAAAATTTTTCTTTAAATTTTGTAGAATTCTTATTACACCCCACAAGGGGCGTTGTCCATTTGTTTAGATCTGTATCCTTTTCTTCAGTGTGTTATTGCAGCAGCCTGTTTTTCTGTCTCTAAACCTGTTGTTGTGTTATGTCTGCAGTCTGTAATTTTTCCCCGTGCTTGTGCATTGCTCCCTCTAGCAGCGTGTGGTGTTGTCCTTTCTAAAATTTCCCAATTCCATATGATATTTATGACAGTATAATAGAATACAGTGAAGTGTCTGTTGTTTGCCAGCTTCCTGTCAGTTGACGCAGGAACACCTGAACACCGAAAAGCAGCGTGCACTGACTGTTATTTGCGGGCTCTTCTATGCTGGAACCCTGTCAGGAATTCAGGCTCCAGACATATATGGGATCACGCTGGACGGGGAGAGAGGGAACAGACCCCATATTTACCCCCGAGAAGAGATCCTTCAGAATACTGTAAGTGTTTGAAACATAATATTGTGCTGCACACAGAAAGTGTTTTCTTATGACCAGAACCATGTATGTCACTATGCAAGTCCCTTGTTCCTTAACAATAAAACTAAGGGTAATAGTGATTTAATACTTGCTGATTTTAGACATTCACAGACATTCATTTGTGATGTGGGTTGTTGAACAATCGAAGTGTTTATAGTGTAACTTGTAGTGCCATTGCTATGCAACAATTGCGAGAGGAAACATATGTTGCTTGGTAACAGCCAGTAAACATATTAACAATACCCAGGCTATCACCAGGCAACAGTTCGGTAAATGGGTCCCTGTGGCAGTGTATACCCATGCGATGGTGGAGGTATTATTGGACTATAACGTGGAAACACTGTTTTCTGCGAGGTTTGCACGAAAGTGTTATAAGCAGGGTCAGTCAAATTCTGGCATTAGATTTATCAGGAGTTCAGTTGAGTGAAGGGATGTGAAGTAGCGAGTTGGTTTTTTTTATTGCTAGTGGGGTGGGACTAAGTCCCTTGTACTGCGGCCGCTTCTGGCGTATTGAACCAGCCCCAGATGATAGGTGAGGGTGATTGTGGAGCAATTGATGGAATGAAAATTGGCAGGGGAACTGAAGTACTTGGGAGAAAACCTGCCCCCGCGCCACTTTGTCCACCACAAATCCCACTTGACCAGAGCCGGGATCAAACCCGGGCTGCCGCGATGAGAAGCCAGTGACTAATCGCTTGAACTATGGCACGGCCTTAGTGGGTTGATCAGTGAGGTCATTCAGTTTTCAGTTGAGAGTCAGGTTGTGAAGAGTAGACTAGGAGGTTGGTGCGAAATGGCCGCCAGCCTGGGACCCACTTAATTATCAGTTGAGAGGCAGTTCTCCATTGGTGGCTGTGACACAGAGTACCTGAGTGTGGAAAGCTGAAGAATCTCCCTCAGTAGAAGCTGTTGCCAGGAAATGGCTAGTGGAGACTGGAATAGACAGAGGACACTGATCTTTGTGTGTCATTGATTTCTAAAGTGTAGTTTTGAGTGGTGTATGCAAGTGGTCAGTAAATCCAATTCATCCAATCCATACCCCGTCTATAGTGACACGCCCCAAAATACGTGAACAATATTATGTTGCAGCATCCTGTTTCACTGTGTATTCTAAATTAGCATTCTTACTTGTCACTTTCCCCGTGCATCTTCAATGATGTATTAAAATTCATACTTCAAAAGCATTTGTCTCTTTCTTTTATTTGAACAATATGTGTTTAGGCCCATCTGGTCATTTAGGTGTATAAGTTGTAGAGGGAACCGCTGCCCCGTTATCATGATGCTACACTTTGCATTTCAAAGGCATACAACAAAGCAATCACAGCAAGATATTTTAAAAATAATTTTAAAGTATTTTATAAGTTAGACTTGAAAGGATTCTGACGATGGTATATACTGTACTTCTTTTGGACTTCATCCATTGTCTGGTATGTAAAAGACAAAAGACCACAACGTTTCAGAGACTTGATCTGTCTCACCCCTCAGGTGGGTTCATTCATCAGTAATCTGTCAGACGACAGGTCCACAGTCTCTTCCAAAACAGTTCCTCCGCTTAATGCGATCTTCTGTTTTTGGAAAGAGACTATCCAGGAAAAGTGATAATGTGGTAGTTTTTCCATTTGCTTTCCACATCGCAGTACAGCAGCCGTTCAAACCACTCTGGTCACGCCTGTTGCTATACGAACTTGAACCATCTCGTGCATCATTTGCTCTGTGCTTCAAGTCGCTGCTGATGACGCTGATGACCCACCCTCAGGTGGGTAGGGCAGGATAAACCTCAGTTGGGCCCGTCAAAAAGAGTTAGTCTCAATCACTGGAGGTAGGTTTATCCTGCCCTATCCACGTGAGGACGGAGACAAATCCAGTCTCCATTATGGTCTTTTGTCTTTTACATACCAGACAATGGATGAAGTCCAAAACAAGCCAAAAGAAGTATTTATAAGTATTTTACACATTTAAAATGCAAAGTGTAGTGGTGTAGCAATGGGGCAGCAGTTTGTCTACAACTTGCATGCTTGATGCTCACTAGTTGAGCTGAAACACGTAATATTGAAACAGAAGAGATGAATGCTTTTGAAGTGTGGATTTTAATACATGGATGAAGTTTCACAGGGACAGCAAGAAGTGTGATTGCTAATGGAGATGTTTGTTTTTTTTAAGATCATTGAGGTTCGGCCGACTAATATCAGCGAGCTGACGCCTGGAACAAGAGTGTGTGCATATTGGAGTCAGCAGTATCGGTGCCTTTACCCCGGAACAGTGGCGCAGCCTTCGTCTCCAGACCCAGAATTAGACTTGCATTTTGTTAATGTTGAATTTGATGATGGGGATAGTGGCCGCATCAATTTGGATGACATCAGACTCTTACCTGCGGATTACCCCATCGTTGGTAAGTTTTGTATTCATGAATTCTGATGTGTTGTGTTTGTATGTGGAAAGGCCCTATCATTGAATTTAACTCTGAAAGTAAGAATGTATGAACTACTTAAAATGTAAGGTGTTATGAACTTCATTGCATGTTTAGTTTCCTTTGAATTTTGGAAGTTTATATACGAAGGGGGACCCAAAAATAACCGGAAATGACCTGTTGCGCACGCATGCTTTGTAGTTACGAGTTGTGCTGCTAGGTGGTGTTAGCTGGGGGTCTCCCGCGACTGTTAGTGAGCTGGCGTCAGTCTGAGTTAAGTGGTTTGTCTGTGGTGCTCTGTTGTGTGCGTTCCTGTTTCAACCCTTTGGCGATTAGTGAGATGGCCGACTAGAAGGAACAAAGAGTGTGCGTGAAATTTTGCTTTCTGTTAGGGAAAACTGCACTTCACTCTTCAAGTCGCGGCAAACATTCACGCGGTTTTCTCTTTGGTCATCTCCGAGCAAGCGAGGAACAAATTTTGCAGACACCCGTCTCATGTGCAAACCTTCGGTTAAAATTTGCTGGACCGTGCTCCATGAGATGTTCGTTTCCTCAGAAAGTTGGTCAATGGTCTTTCGACGATCTTCATCAATTTCACGCACACTCTTTGTTCCTTCTGGTCGGCCATCTCACTAATCGCCAAAGGGTTGAAACAGGAACGCACACAACAGAGCACCACAGACAAACCACTTAACTCAGACTGACGCCAGCTCACTAACAGTCGCGGGAGACCCCCAGCTAACACCACCTAGCAGCACAACTCGTAACTACAAAGCATGTGCGCACAACAGGTCATTTCCGGTTATTTTTTGGTCCCCCCTCGTATAAGTAGAAAGAATGAACAGTTTTGCAAAAAACCAAGTACTATATATCTGTCGCACGGGGTGGTGTAGTCGTCATTTCAGGTGTGATTGATTGATTCTTAGCTTATACAATAATGACACATAAATGAATGTATAAGGGGTGGGCCTTCTTGGCCCTTGCACCGTGACCACAGTGATCTATTGTGCCTCCCCTTCTGATTATCCCCTCAGCAATTTTGTACGTGGGGGCGTCGAAATAGTCACTTGGTTCCATAAAGTATTGACCCAAATGACGTAGTCTTAAATAAGCTAAGGCCTCACATTCGCACAGGATATGTGTGGCTGTTTCGTTTTCTTCTTGACACCTCTCACAAGTGGGACTGTTACTTAGTCCCAATTTGAAGAGATGTCCTCTGAGGTGACAGTGTCCTGTAAGTAGTCCCACCACCCATCGTAGCTGGTTCCTGTTTAACTTCAACAGTTCCTTCGCTCTTTTAGTAGAGGGTCCTTGTATGAGTCCCTTTGCTTGCCTGAGTCCAGTCAAGGATCCCCAGTATTTCTTGTGATTCATATATGTCCAGTCCCTGATTACCTTTCTGGCGACTCCTATAGAGATGCCACAGGCTGGTTCAGGTCCCATGAAAGGATGTTCAGCTCCAATCTTAGCCAATTGGTCTGCTGTTTCATTACCAGCAATACGCTCATGCCCTGGCACCCATATCAGTTGTACCCTGTTATGTTTGGCCAGTTCCATGAGGGTTTGGTGGAAATCCCAGACCAATTTTGAGTTGATCTGCTGTTTGTGAAGCGCTTTAAATGCAGCCTGGCTGTCAGGTAGAATGTAGATGTTCCTGTTTCTGTAATTCCTATAAGAATGACACGTGGAAAGATTATATACCAGATGATATATAATGTGATCATGAATAGTTAGTGCATAATGGGGAATATCAAAATTTGTACTTCTCTAATCTCTGAATATTATTGAGACAGTAAAATCAAGGAGGATTAGATGAGTGGGAATGTATAGGATGCACAGAAGGAAAAAGAAATGCACACAGAGTTTTGATATGAAAATTGGAAGGGTACCAATGGGAAGACATAGAATAGATGTGAATATTAAAATGGATAATATGGGAGTAGGTTGTGGACTGGAATCATGACTGACATCGGATAAAGGCCACTGGCAAGCTCTTGTGAACACAGTATTAAACCTTTGGGTTCAGTAAAATGTGAGGATTATTTTGAGTAGCTGGGCAGCTGTTAACTTCTGAAGGAAGACTGTGATCCATGGAGTTAGTCTGTTCATTAGTTTACAGTAATTTTGTCTATTAGTGGCTCACGCATCATGCTTCATATTTGTTTATCTTAGAGCTCTGTTTTGTCATACTATTAATGCAATTTATCTTTTGGTAATTTTATGACTTCATGTAAAGTAAAATTCGTGTTTTTTGAAACAGCACATTCTTTCACAGAAGACTACACCAGTAGTGTTGGATTCAAGTGTGGATAAATGGTAGAACCCAAATAACATTACAAATAACTCATTATTTTGGAGTCTGTTACCCTGATTTCTGTTTGATAATCTATGGTTTTATTTCAATGTTAAGAGCATCAGTGTCCTGTCTGCAGCCATGGTAGAAGCTGTTGCGTATGCCCATTGCATTGCTTAGGCAGTGTCCCCCACCATTTTAATTCAGTCATATTATTTCCTTTTTCTCTGAGCTTACTGTTCATTCAGTGAGTTAACTGTTTTACACATTAGTTCAAGCAAGAATCTTCAGGAATGAAGCCCCTGTGCACAATGAGAGTTACCATGTGATCATATTCTGTTAGTAAACAGTGAATTTTACAAGTTCTGAAGCCTGACATGCTTATGTGAATAAAGCTGCAGAGTTCAAGCATAAATATTTTTTTTTGGAAGGAAACATTGAGATTTTGAAGTCAGTTTTATGATTGTGCCTTTATAGCTTCAAGAAATTGGTTATAGTTTGAGCTGACTATTATGATAGGCTGCAGTATATACAGTAGAGTTGTTATTGACATTAAGGATTAATCTTGAACTGGCCTCTTCTCATAATAGCAATATTCATGTTATCATAGGCAATTTTCTGCACTACTCTGACATGATTTAAACTTCAGACCACCTTTTAGAATAACTCCACTTTCATTTCTAGTACAAACAGTTACTTAATCTTAGGTGGGTACTGACATTTTTGGAGGAACTGTTCTCCTCCAGAGCCAGGATAGCATAGTTGTTATAGAGACTGGCTATGAGCTGGATGATCAAAGGGTCAAAGTTTAAGTCTCAGTGGGTGCAAGAATTTTCACTTCTCTGTGTCTTCTGGACTGACTCTTGGGCCCACCCAGCGTCCTATCCATTGGGTACTGGGGGATCTTTCCCCTTGGGTAAAGCAGCCGGGGCGTGGAACTGACCACTCACCTCCAAGTAGTGTCGAAGTCAAGAAAATGTGGGTCTACACGTCCACTCCCCCATATGTCTTCATGGCATAGTGCTTAATTAAGCATAGGGGCAACTTTACCTTTCACTCTTACTGTTCTCCCCTATTTTCAGGATGGAAGTGAGAGAGTTGAGAATTCCTCGTCGTCCTACCAATTTTGACCCTGAAAATTGAGGCAGCATCCACAAACCAGAAGTCCACAATGTGAATTTATCACTTATTAAGTTAATTGGTTAAGAAAGAAGATTGATTTTATTGTCCATTTTCTCCTTACAGAGTATAATCAAGAGCCAGCTTGGGGCTCAGGCAAGCGTAGACGAAGAAACTCTGGTGCCAGCTGTGAGAGTCGTTCAAAAGATAGGAGAGCAAGTGCTGAAACAGCAAATAGCGCAAAGAGTGCAGGAGCTACACAAAAACAGGTGAATTCATTGAGTTATCTTTGTATAGAAGTTTCTTATTTCTCAAATTGTGCAACTGACTGGTTTGTGAGAACTGAAAGTAAAGTAAAGGTATCCCAGTGCCCCAATATGTAGAGCATGTGTAAATAGAAGAAAAGTTCCACACATTCTAGATTAGCAGTTTGGAAATGTTTTTATTTGTGACACATACAGCGTGTACGGCAGGTTTTATGACACACTTGGAAGCTGTGAAATATTCTTCTGAACATAGAAACATGGAAGAAGTTGAAAATATCTCACATGATAGTGTGGAACAAACTACATAATGAGGAGCATCATAACTTATACTCTTTGCCCAGTATAATTAAAATAATCAAGTCAAGGAGGATGAGATGGGCGGGGTATATAGCGTGAATGGGGGAGAAGAGGAATTACAGGATAATGGTGGGAAAGCCAGAAGGAAAGAGACCAGTAGGAAGACCAAGATGTAGGTGTGTGGACAATATTAAAATGGATCTTAGAGAGAGAGGATGGTATAGACTGGATCGATCTGGCTGAGGACAGGAACCAATGGAGGACTTGTGAGCATGGTGATGAACCTACAGGTTCCATAAAATGCTGGGAAATTCTTGAGTAGCTGCACAGTTGGCAGCTTCTCAAGAAGGGCTCAGCTCCATGAGTGAGTGAGCGAATAACTGTGGAACACTGAAAAGGCAACTGGTGAGATTTTTTCCATCCTCTTTGAAACTACTCTGTGACTTTGTGTTCCACATTTACGAAGGCTTGTAGATTTTAAACAAACATGTTTACTTTTCATTTATTTCTTAAATAACTTTCAACTGATTGTTCTTTTTTCAAAAGGAAGTTTTTACTCTTGAGATGATTTAGCTGGGATCGGTGAAATTGAATGTTAAGTTAGGGCTGGGATAGTACTTTGGACCATGATTGCTTTCTTTCAAATTCTTTCCAGTTCATTGTTAAGTAACCCATAAAAAGTAGTTAAATTGGGGAAAATATTAATCGAGGACCATTGATTGGAGATTCCAATATATGGAGCAGTCATATGTTGTCATGCAGTTCGATGTTGTACCGTCTGCAATACTGAAGGCATGGTAAACTAACCCAGAAAAGAAATTGGGGAGAGTTTCAAATCAGGGAACATTAAATGGGGGTTCCATTTTATGGAACGGTAGGTATGTGTCTTCAGTACATAAATGTTCAGATGACTTAAGGAGTGCGGTTTTACACGTTACATTTAGGAAGTGAAGATTGTGATATTCAGGGATGTGATGTCATATAATTACCATTGTTTCAGAGGATCATTTAGCCTCCTTCAGGGTTGAAGTATTTGCACAGCATACCCCATAATAAATAAGGGACGTGTTCTTGAAAATATGTCTTGAAATTCCATGGTGGAAACCCATTTTTTCTGTTGACTCCCTGCTATAGGTGGAAATGGGTTCCTGTGTAAATTTTTTGGTGTACAGTTGCAGTGATGGACTGTGGACTGAATGTCCAGGGTTCGATTCCTGATGGACAAGGTTTTCTTTTCTCCACTATGTCTAGACCAGCTTTGGGGCCCACTGAGCCTCCTATCCACTGGGTAGCAGTGGACGATTTCCCTGGAGGTAAAGTGACCTGGACATGAAGCTTACCACTTATCTCCATCCAGTGCTGAGGTGAAGAATAGTGGAATTATACCTCCACTCCACCATATGTCTTCATGGCATATTTACCTTACATTTTTAATAAAAAAGCAAAACCCTTTGTTTCACACCAAAAGCAATATCAGCCACATAAACGTTAACTTCAGAGAACTTTTGTATTTAGCCTGATGCCATCTTCTCAGAGACAGTCTGCTGCATCCATATAGACTAGCCAATGGCAGTTATGTAGGCTGTGGATCTGAATCTCTTAATAAACAATCATTCCTTAAGAACGAATTTCTAAATCCTTTTTGATTTTTATTTTGTGTTTAAAAATTATTTCAATGTTTTATCTCATGTTGAATTTATAGTCTGGTATCATGAATGTTATTGACATGTTTTATGTTGAAGTTTGGTGTCCTTTGGGGTGTCATGTCATACAGTTTGGGAGATCATAACCAAATTTCAGAGAAAACTGATACTTCCATCTTCAGGGTAGAAGATAGAAGCAGCAGGTTTCCTGAGATCTTGCAGTGATCTACAGATGACATCACATTCCAGAAAACAGCAATCTTCAGTTACCAACATGAGAACCTTAGTCTTTCATGTTTTATAATTTCTGTGAGGGTGAAATTCCTGAACCCATGCTTAGGGCTTGCTGTATCAAGCTGCATGGTGGCCTATCCTAGAAGACCGTAATCTTCATATAAGCTGCTATGATAACCTCAAATCACACATATGGAAAATATTTTTACTCAAGATCGGTCTGCATGTTTCCACTACATTTATTGTTTGTATTATAGGTGCGTCAGACTAAAGAAACCACACCAGCTGCCGATAAAAATACTGCAGAGAGTTCTGAGAAGAAGCAGCAGCCGGTGGCAGCTAGTCCTAAAGCTAGCCCCGCAGCCAAAAACAACAGTAAGGTGTCTGGCGTTACAAGTGCAGGGAAAACAAATGTCACCAGTTGTACAGCTGAGATTCCGAAAGTGCCAATGGACAATGATGTAACAGGAAAGACTGAGGTAAATGAATATTTTTGTTATAATCAGTTTAATGTCATGAATATTTTTCATCTCATTTAAGGTTCTTTTTAGTAGCCGGGATAGCTCAGTTGGTATAGCGACTGGCTACGGGCTGGATGACCAAGGGGTCAGAGTTCAAGTCCTGGTAGAGTCAAGAATTTTCTCTTCTCCATGTCGTCCAGACCGGCTCTGGGCTCCACTGAACTTCTCATCCAGTGGGTATTCGGGGTAAAGCGGCCAGGGCCTGAAGCTAACCACTCGCTCACAGCTGTTTCCAAGGTCAAGAAAATGTGGATCTATACATCCACTCCTCCATACACCTTCATGGTGTAGTGCTTAATTAGTTGAGCACAGGAACTTTACTCTTGGTTTCTTTTATGATGCTGTCAGTTGCCCAGACTGTATACCATTGAATGTTAGGATGATGAGTGTATAATGAATTTGAAAGGATTTGAAAGGAAGCAGCCATGGCCTAATTTGAGGTACTGTCCCTGGATTTGTTTGAAGAGACTGAGGAGAATGATGAAAAGAACTGCCAGCATATCCAAAATCCTGGCCGGGATTTTTGCTGAGCACAGCATTATGAAAAGAAGACTGTCCCTTTTGTGAGCTGTTACTTATGATGAATTTTCTATTTATGATGATCTGCTTGGTGCTGTAATTTTAATATTTTTATTTTATGTGAAAATAGTGAAAGAAGGTGATGGTTTATAATGCTGTTGGTGGAGTCCTTTATAAGCAGCCAGTTGTTCTTCAGTGGTCAAAACAACTTGCCCTTTATTGTACTCCTGAGTTCATTATGATCATGACAGGAGCCAGATAAATTTATGTTCACACCCTCATATTGTGCATATGTAAAATTATGGTTTATTTGCCTCATTGTTTTTAATTACACATTCCACTTCTCTGCAATGCCACAGATAATCAGGAATGCCCTGTAGACGAATCACGGACAGAAATGGATAAGCCATTTGGGTAGAGTGATTGGTGATAGAGCACTAAGACAAATTTTACAGGATAAACGAAAATGATGCTAAGACAGGAAAACCATACAAGAAGATGGAATGAGTACGAGAAATCGTAACAGACTCTATTGTCTTATATCTTGAAGTTAAATAAATATTTAAGGAAAGATAAAGTTGTCCCAGTGCTTAACTAATTAAATATTACATGGTGAGGATGCCGGCACATAGGGCTGACAACCTCACTTCCATCTATGAGCTGATTGACTAGAAAATGTGGGAACCTCAACGTCTCACAACCCTATGGGCCTCCACAGCCTGTTACGGGGATGCCTTTACTTTACTTACTATGTTGAGGATGTATGGGGGGGTGGATTTGTAGATCCACATAATGAGTGGTGAGTTTCACATCCCAGCTGTTTTACTTCCTGGGTGAGATCCTCTGGTACTAATTGGATAGGAGGCTGGGTTGGCCTCAGGGCTGGTATGGATGACATGAAGAAAATTCTTGACCCTACCAGGACTTGAACTCCAACACCTCAGTCATCCAGCCTGTATCCAGTCGCTGTACTGACTGCACTATCAAGGCAAAGAAGAAAAAATTTTTAAATGAAATTTCATGAATATCTGATATTCACATTATATCTGTCACAGTTTTAAAAAATAAAAGGTGGCACACTTCTGGTTTAGAAAATGAAAATTTCAGTTGTAACTCTTCCATTTTGTTGTCCTTGTGTTTCAGTTGAGTGATCGAAGTAGCAGCAGTACTAGCGACCGTGAGAGAAAACGTCTAAAGAAGAGAAGAAGGGAGAAACTGAAGCGTCTGCTGGCTTCTGCGACAGGTGAAAGTGGTCTTACAGGAGGACTGAAGAAACATAGAAAGAAACATCGATGTAGTGGCGGGGAGGAACGCTGCAGGCACAAGCGACACCACAAGCGGCATCGGAAACACCGCCATCGAAATCACAACAGCAGTCGCAATAAAGATTCAAGCAGTGGCTCATCCTCAGCTGATTCGGGATCTAGACCAGGTGTGTACCAACAACAGTGTTCTCTCTTTATAAAAGGTGTGTTGTGAACAGGTTTGAGTCAGTTCTGTTGTCAGCAGGTCTTGCCGATGGTGATGCTCTGTCAAGGCTCTCTCCAGTACTGGAGCAGCTTGACATTTTGGAGATCCAGCAGACAGCAATAAGACAGCTGACCACAGAACAGGAAGCTGTAGCAGCTTCAAGTACCGTGGTTACACCTCCTGTTACAACAGTGACTGCCACACAGAACACAAAGGCAGGTGGTGCACAGTCAACGGTGGTGATCGCTGATGCTGATGGTTCTGATACTGAAGCTGAGCAGGAAGAAGCAGCTGATACAGCAACAGATGTACCAAAACCAACAGGCAGTTCTGTCACTTCCACAACAGACAGCAAGAAAGCGAAAGTGAGTTCAGTTACCTGTTAAATCTATGGCTATGGGAGAAGTTGTAAAACTGAAAATGGAGGAAATGTATACAGAGGTGGTCTGAAAATGCAGTACTTATTAAGAAATAACATAAATACTCCAATTAAAAAAAAATATGTAAGGAGAATTTCATGCATAAAGAATTTAAGAATGTAGACTACATTATTGGGGTACAAAGAGATTGAGACATTTGTAACTTGAAGTTCTCCTTGAGGTGTTGTGGAAATTCAACCAAACTTTTGCTTTTTACGATTCTTTCCATATGTTTCGGAAAATACGCTCCCACCCAGTGATTGTATTAGGTGTGTATTGCACGATTGCCATTAAAGTAATTTCTAACATTTTATGCTAAATCTCTCGTAGACATTTATGGCTATTGTGTGTGAAACTGTATTCACTGATGTGTGTTTATATGGTTGCTGCATTTTCTTCTTACACAGAAAGAAAAAGAAGTCGTAAAACCAAAGAAGGGACGAGACAGGCAGCCTTCAGTAGAGAGCCGAAGTAAAATGGCAGCTTTTTTGCCAGCTCGACAACTTTGGGGTTGGTCGGGACGGGGATTTAAGCGGCCAGGGGCAAAGGGTCGGGGTAAAAAGGAATTCTATAAAGCAATTCAACGTGGAAAGGAGACTATTAGGGTGGGTAATACCTTATTTTATAAGAAACACAGGCTTATCATGTCCATGAGTCAGCCCTCCATTAACTTTTGAATCTATTGATGGATTTTCTTGAAATTTGTTATGAAGGTTATGCCACTAGAAATCACTCTACTTTTGTGCTTAGTTCCTTGATTTTATATTATTAGTAATACCAGAAAACTTGATAATGCTGCATAATTCAAAACTCTCAGATATTCTATGGCTATAGATCTTAATATAACATGCCACTTTTGTAAAACATTGTATTGTGTGAAATTTAGATTTAACTTCTTGTATTCTACAGTTTACATTAGTGCTGTGTAGTTCAGAGAGAGCCTGATGTTTCACAGGAACATGTTGTTTCTGTCTTTAGGGTGAAAGTAATCCATGCAAGATTGCAGCTGAACTTGGTTTGCCATTTGTTTTTGCTGGTTTCTTGCTTGGCTTGTTCTTTAACCATGAAGATGGGGTAATATGTTCATATGAAACATGAGGCTGTCTCCAAACTGTGCGGTGTTACAATTCTGAAAGCTCTATATAGTTACTGCTGTGGTAACCTCAAATTTGACATATAACTTTTCGATTAATGGTGAGAACAAATGAGCAATTAGATCTAGGCACATGGAATTTTATAAGGAGACAAAAGATAAACATTCCTATGAATCTATTATGAAAGGTTCTTCACATGTTAACAGTTTCTGTCATGGTGACTGTGTTTGAAAATTTTGAGGTTATATTGGACAAATTCAAGCCACCCAAAATCTGTACTAGTGGAAATTATGCATAGAAATTGATCACTTAATTGTATGAATGTTAATATTATTCTCTTTAGTTTTGCTGTACAGGTGATTTGAATGAAAGTATGTCTGTGAGATTTTCCCATGAAGTTCTGAAGTAATGAACTTTTGCATTAATGAACAGAACGAATCGCTGCAGCCTTTTAAACTGAGAGTTTATTGCATAACCCATATTTTCATTTGCTCTGCATATGTGACATCACATAGCATAAGAACCATTTCTTATTGATGCAGATGTCATTAATTGGAATCTAAGGCTTTTAATATTTTCCACTTTGTTTACTGCGCTTCCTTACGCTGACTTAACACACATTAATGAAACTGTCATTATATCTGCATATATTGTTCAAAGTATTTCTGTTTCTGAGAAAGAAAATTAACATCATATTCCTTTTATGCTATTCAGGTAGGCGACTCTGCCGTTTTCTTGTCAACGGGCCGCCCTGACCGACCATACATTGGTCGCATTGAATCCATGTGGGAATCCTGGGGTACTAATATGGTAGTTCGTGTCAAATGGTTCTACCATCCAGAGGAGACAAATGGATGTCCTGCTCAATTGCAGTACCCAGTGAGTGAATTGCCTTCTTTTCATGTGTACTTTGTCCATAACTGTAAATAAAGTATGTGACAGGGCAGAGAAAATCACATTCGCAGTTGTAAGGAAGGAACTAGGTTTTTATTCAGTGAGTAGAGCACATAGATGATGACAGAGGAAAGTTTCACCAACTTGAAAAGAACGGGGCAGTGATAGATTCCCAAGAATTGCAGTTTGTTTGAATAAAGTGAATATGGAGATAAGCATGATTTTTGGTCTTGAAATTTACGTTGTCTCGAGTATATTCAGATGCATTATTTCTGAATCTGGATCTTATTCAGTAATCAAATGTAAGGGTGGAAGGATTCCTACTTGGTTGAACCAAGTTGAAATAGGAAGGATTGTTTTACTCCCTTACCAGATGACACAAACAGATTCAGTTTTTCAAATGTTGCATATGAAAGAACTCAGGTGACTGGGCAACGGCCAAAGTAAAAGTGCTGTTATTATTATTGTAACGTGTTTACGTTACTGAAGACGCCATAGAGATTGTTAATTGGTTTATTCAACAACCTACAAATCACGGCTACAATTAATTACAACAATATTGCGGGGTTTCACACTTTATAACCCTAATCGCAATAATCTGTTTACACTGTTGCTGGGTTTCACAATTTATAACCCTATTCGCAGATCAGATCACGCTATTGTCAGTAGACTACACGTTTCACAGTACGGGAGCTATACAAGTGTCACCCTGTTACACACTCCCAATTAATTCTCAGTTACACACGCGTCCGGTACTTCTTTCTGCGATGGCTGCTATATTTCAACTCAACTCGTAGGCTGCTGCCTTGAGAACTGGTGATAACGCACTCGCTTGACTACTACTTAACTTGGTGACTGCCACATTACAACTAACTTCGCAGGCAGCGCAGCTCTCTTATATAGGGGCTGTGTTGGCCTGTTACGTAGCAACGCTGTTACCTCACGCCGTGTTACGTCACCGCGCGTTGCGCATTATGATACCATGCGGAGGGGGGATGACGGAGCGCTGACTCACCCGCCGCGCCACTGCTGGTGGGGGGGGTTCACCATTGCGCAACATGTCACGTTATTATTATTATTATTATTATTATTGATTTATGTTAATGAAATTATTATTATTGTTCTTGTTTGTTTGTTTACTTGTCTGCATTATTGTGTTTTCCTCCAGTGCTTGCCTGTAATTTGTCTTTGCCTTTATGTTGTGTTTGTCCATAATGTAATTACTTGTGTCTACCCTGTGCTCTGTCTGTAATTGGCCTTGTGGCTGTTGACTCGGCACATAAATAGTAAAGAATTGAATTGAATTATTATTATTCATTATAATGTGCCTGTGTTGGGAAATATTTCAGCTTAATTTATAGAGATATTGGAAAACCATTCAAAAGATGGTGGCTGTAAAATTTTAAGCAGAAGAAGAACAAGGATCTAAGTCCACCCACTCACCAGTTATACATTTTATTATTATTATTATTATTCTGATTTTAATTATGCAGGAAGATATCTTTTGGTGACTTTTCTGTAAAGATGTTTGGGTTATGACAAAGTATTTGTACTTCTCTGTTATCCTCCCCTAAAGACTGCTCTTGTATCCGTTTTTATTTCTTCCTTGCCCTGCTTTCTACATATCTTTCTTCACTTGAAAAAGTTACTCCATTTGAGCAGTGACACACTGATATAATGTGTGTAAAATATCTTTGATAGTGCATTGTCATCAGGTAGTGAATTAGATTGTTATATCATTGTTAGAAATTTTATTTTCAACATATGATGGAACAGAAATCACCATACTGAACACACAAGAGTTTTCTCCTGTAAGGTTGTGTGCTCAAGGTATGGCATACCTTCAAAAATGCTTTAGACAGACAGTAAATACAAGTGTATAAGGTATTTTATCTAATTTGTCATCTCTTCCTCACCCTCCACTCCCCATGTTTTACAGGGATTCTTTGTTATAATGCTTACTAACTTTTTCAGTTTAAAATTTGCATGAAGTCATCATTGATCATTAAGTATTATTAGTTCCATAAATAATGCATAAACACTTAGGGTGTCCTCAGGAAAATGTTTTAAATTGGAAACATATTTTTGTTATAAGAAAGAGATTCCTGAAGATGTGTGAAAAGTATGAATGAAACATTTTGAATTAATAGAGATTGATGATAAGTTATAGTTGATGGTTTCCAGATGTGTCTGTGACAGCAAGTAATGCAGTCATCACAAAACATAAAATTTATTTCATGGAAGACTTTCACTAGAAATGTGAAGCGATAGAAAATGGAATCGTCTAAAGAGATATTCTGAATTATTCAATTTTTTTATATCCAGGGGGCACTTTTCGAGTCACCACACGTTGATGAAAATGATGTGCAGACAATTTCACACAAATGTGAAGTGCTACCACTGGAGGGCTACACAGGTCGGCTGGGCTCAGAACCGCAGCGCTACTCCACTGTATATGACAATAATGACGTCTATTATCTTGCTGGATATTATGACCCTACAACAAGTCAGCTGACATTGGAACCGGGTGTGGTGTAACAGATGTTTGTGCAGCTGTTTTCAGGTAAGTACAGCTGTGAAATATTGTTAGAAATACAATACATTGTTACATTTTTAACACTTTAGAATGATAATTCTGAAGCATACTTTAAGATTGTCAGGATTGTGAGGTAACATTATACAGTAGGGTCCCTGTATAATGCTTCTGGATTTAAGATTTTGTCTCAGTTAATATTCATGTTTAGGCATATGCCAGAATGATTTCATTTGAGTAAAAAATGTGGAATAATTTGAAGAACAAAAGCAGGAACAAGAATTTATTCTACTATACCAATTTTTCCACTGGAATCACAATTTGTAGCACTAGCTACTGTTTTAAAATACGTACATTGAAGTATATTGTTTATGAGTATTCTTTGTGATATTAGATCCACTTCTCATTGAATCAATAAAAATAAATCACTTTCACCCTGAATAGCTAGTGTTACCAGCCATTTAATTTCTGACAGCTTGGACAATTTGTTTGCTACCGCAGAAAGCAAAATCAGTTCTTTAAAAATTTGAAGTTTGAGACTGAAAAATCAACTTTTGAATTGAGATTGAGTTATCTCCTTTCGTGAATTGGTCTCACAAATTTCAGACTGTCACATGCCTTTTCAGTTTCTGTAGTACAGCTGCAGAATGTTGGCTCAGTGTTCCCTCTGTTCAGGGTTTTCCCTGTCCAAATCAGTATGCACTGGAGTATTTGTATTTGTCCTGAATTTGATGACTTCAATGACAAGTTTTTTAATTTCTAGCAATTAGGTATGAAGTAGTATGACCTGGGATAGCCCAGTCATTGGCAGGCTGTGGGCCGAACAACCTGGATTCTGCAGGAAGCAGGATTTTTCTCTTCATCACCATGTCCAGAGATGATATGAAGGCCATCCAGCCTCCTGTCAAATGGGTACCAGAGGTTTTTTCTCCAGAGCTGAAGTGGCCAAAGCGTGGAGGTGACCATTCAACTGTAACTACTATCAAGATTAAGAATGAATGTTGCTATGTCTCCCTTCACCCATATATGTCTTGATGGCATATTGCTTGATTAAGCACAGGAGACAAATTTCACAGTGAAACAGTTTTGGTATTTTTGAACAGAATCTCCTGTTTTCATCTTGTAGTCCTCCATTTGTGCAGAGCGACTGCTTTCCTTATACAACTCTTTATTGACCGTCGCAACACAACAAACAGAAAAAATCAGGGTCAGCGCCCAGCCATGTTTCGCTAAACGTTTCAGCCACTGATGGCCATCATCAGGCAAACACATATTAACAAACATATACCATTGAACTGCAGTGCATTAGATTGGATACAATGTTATTAATCATTTAAAATACTTTGCGTAAAAATACAATAAGTCAGATTATATAAAAGAACCAAAACTTATTGTATAAAACAAGATAAAATTGATGTTATATAACATTGAATCAGTCGCTGATATTTTACCTTTCGTACGTTTGGAAATCCAATATTTCGTTTATATAAGAATGCATAGGAGGCCCATGATGTTGCAAATTAATTAATCGTATAGTCAGTGCCTCATCTTACAGAGAAGTATCCATACTGTATGGAAAGTAAACAACGACTTTCCTTATTCCCACAATACTTAACCAAGCACACTGATGTAGCTGTAATGCTTGTATTTGTTCAGTATTTGATTCTGAACCAGGATAAACGCTATCCTAAGAGGAGTTCTGTGATTTTGTCATCCTTATACGCAGATACCAAGGCAATAGTCTGAAATATATTGTGACTAAATTTCTAGATACTCACCATTCATGAGGATCTTTCTATATTACAAAAGGCAATCCTATCCCAGTAACAGGCCGTGGAGATCCATAGGGTTGTGAGACATCAAGGCTCCCACAGTTTCTAGACGTTAAGCTCACATATGGAGGTGAGGTTGTCAGCCATACACGCCAGCAGCATTTTACCCCCAGGAGGATCCCTGGTGTTCATTTCTGTTAGAGTCTGAGCCGACCCCATCACCGTAGTGTGACTGGAAGGATTAGATCAATTGAAAAATCCGTTGACCTCATCAGGAATCAAACTCATGACCTGGTTTGTAGCATAGTGCCTCAACCAACTATACTACAACAAGCTCTGTTTCTCATAATTGAAATGTTGTCATTAAATAATCTGGAAATTAATTAATTGACCAACCATTCTTTGCATCATAATTTTTACTCTTCCAAGTAAATTCCTGCAAGGTTTGATGTTCTCACAGCAGTGAGTATTAGCCTGGTACAAAATTTGTGATGTTCTAGAGGACATGCCACCTCCATCTTCAGTGTAGAGGATTAAGCTGAGTAGGGAAGAAATGGTATGTACAAGTATATAGGGAGGCTGAGAGCCAGAATAGGAGCCCTTAACAAACCAATCAGAATAAGGGGAACAATGAAAGAATCTTGAGACCTGCTCCATGTATTCATACCATTTCATCTACATTCAGATTGGTCTTATACCATGAAGATGGAGGCAGCACATTCCTCAGAAATATTGAATACTTTCAAGACTATGTAGCACATCATCTCAGATAACAGAAGAGGTATGGGAAACGATGGAGATTCTGTTTAAATAACAACATGTGCTAAATTTCGAGTTTTGCTGTTAATCTAATTGGACATAAATTTATTTGGGGAAATATGTTGCACATGGGCAGTGACACTGCTGTGTGACTTCAGTTATAAGTTATATGTTTCACTTGAATTTTATATTTTTACTCTGTGCACCAAGTGTTCTTTCAGTATTTTCAGCCTTTTCCTCTTGAGGACATGGAAGTCACATATGCAGGTGATGTTCAGTAAAAAATACATACTAGTACATACACACTTCAGTTTCACAATCAGATTTGTGTTAGAGAATATGAATTGAATTTTTAAGTCAGCACTGTCGGTGTTAAAAAACATTGATGCCCTTTACAGCGGTGGATCTGAACTGATGTGAGTAGCCCTATTCGTGGGACTTAGTGGATAGCTGGGTGGGATGTGACGTCTTGAAGATAATTATTTCAGCTACACAAAATTTACTTGCACATAAAATTTCCTGCATTGTGGGAAACTTTGTCTTTCTGTCATGTGGAACTTTTTTTTTTTGTGTAATATGTTTGGGAAATGCTTCAGTAATGTTACTTAAGGTTACTGATAATATAATTACTGTAATAAAACATGTTATGTCTAGTTACTGCTATCTTTAAGTTCATGAGAACTCAAATTCATCAGTAGTACAATAAAATATACTGTCATGTCTGAGGCATTTGCGTGATGAATAATAATGGGTTGTGGATTTTATAATTGGATTTATTGGCACTTCTTCACAATTACCACCAATTATAACAGCTCACAATTAATGACTGTCTAAGACTTGCTCCATTCCTTACTGGACTGTGAGTGTCATATCTTTCACCATGATGAATGATGAACAAAGAATTCTTTCTGACTGAACTGAATGAAGAATGGTGGGTCACCTATGAACGGACTTGAACTCTGGACACTCCCTGCTCTGTCTTGAGCATTCATACATGTCCTCCCTTTTATAACTTTGAGACAACTGAGTAGAGACCACCACCTCAAACAGTTATCATTCTGTCTGTTGTCATGGGAATCTGTGTTTAGCAACTTGCTATGTCGGAACAGAGGTCCCACTGTTGACTGTGTAGCCTTGAGCGTAGAAGTAGCGTAGTGGTTGAGGTGCTATGCTACAAGCCGGAAGGTTGCGGGTTCAAGTCCCGATGAGGTCATTGGATTTTTTTCAGTTGACCTAATCCTTCTAGCCTCACTAGGCCCTGGGGTTTACTCAGCCTCTAACAGAAATGAGTATCAGGAATTAAATAATTTTCCTGGGGAGTAAAGCGCAGCCGGCGCGTAAGGCTGAGAAACTTACCGCCATCTTTGAGCCGATTGTCTAGATAGTGTGGGACCCTCAACATCTCACAACTCTATAGGCCTTCATGGCCTGGTACAGGGATAACTTTAATTTACTTTTTTTTTTTATTATTATATTGTGACACGCTTCTTGGGATATACAGTTAGATATACTAAATATACTAAACTTTCAAATGTGGGTTATACTTTCCAGTAAACACCCAGTTCTTGCAGTGTGTAATAAGCTTAAGTATATATGGATAAATACCGTCTTAAGTGCAACAAATTTGTTGCACTTAAGACGGTATTTATCCATATATATTGTGTGAGTGTAACAGGATGCTGAAATATAATATTGTAAGCGTAAGTATATAATATTGATAAAATGTGCAGCATATTTCCCCACCCATATTTGTACCCACTTAGTAGGGAAAATGTATATGTGATATCTGGATCTTCATATTATATATAGGCTTACAGCCTTCGAAAAACTTATTATTTTAAGATGGTATTTATCCAAATAGTACAGTATTTTTAATGTTATGTTTTCTTTTGTTTGTTAGTTTAAATGTGAATGAGTTGGGATGTTGAAGTAACTGTGAACAAAGTTGAAAATGTTCATGCAAAAGAGATACTTGAAATATAAATATGACATTTTTCTTAACATCGCTGTGCAATTTAGTTGTTGTTTTATGTATTATTTTATCAGAAGCAGACACTTAAGGGTACTTTAGAACGTTGCTTCATTATTAGAGTTTTGGTATATTTGGATAAATATTAGTGATACTTCACTCTTAAAATGGAATGATGTTTGTGGTTAGTGGATACTTGCTTGCCACAAGCAATATGCATCTTCATCGCCAGAAAAATACAGTCATTTTTGCAGTGTAAATGCACTTACTTAATATCAGAATTTTTAAACCATAATTTTTACAAGGCTTATTTTCTTGCACTTGAACCATATCTGATGTGGTATTTTTGCAATATTTTCTTTATAATGGGTGTTGTAGTTGGATTGTTAGGGTTCCAAAATGGTATGGTATGGTTCCAGAAAAAAATCTTTTGAAGATTAATTTATTTTCTCCCACCTTTGCTTAATACATATATGAGTATAAAGTGTTTTGCTACAGTAAATTTGAACAATTTTATTATCAAGAAAACTCTGCATGGTATGTAATGTATACGTTATTTTAAAAATGGATTATAACCTTAATTATTTTATCTATTTCATGCTACTTAAAGAGAGAGAGAGAGAAAGAGAGAAATATCATGTGTTCAGTGTGTAAGAAGGTCTTAGTTTATGTACATTCTTTTCTATACAAATATTTCAAGTGTGTGCAGATGCCTTGTTTAGTTTCTGCACATTCTTTTCAGTGATCGTATATGTGCATGTGTGTATTTCCAAATTTTTAAAATAGAGCATCACCCTGCATGCACTTATCTTTCGATATATAAATTGTAGGGCTTAATTCTGTAGGGTTAAAAGTGAAAAATGATATAAATGGAATTCTATGGCCCATGATTGTAGTTTTCTAAAAAAAAAAAAGAACACTTCACTGCATGAGAAATCAATTACATTAAGAACTGTGCAATGTTATTTCAAAATTACTATTAATTTTATTATGATGGTTACTTATATATGTGTAAACAGAAGCAAAATTATAATAATGTATTTTATTGAGCATGCAAGGTTTGGTGTGAATGAATCTATGATATTTTAGGCTCTGTTCTGTAACTTTGTCGCTGGAACCAGTATTGTTTCCACACCAGGTAGGTATGTTTTCATCATATTCTGGTGTGTTATAACTTGTCATGACAGTTATTAGGAAAGTGTTTTCATATTGTTATGTCATACCATTTGAAGTCCTTTCCCAATTTAAAAATAAAACGTGTGGTTCAGTGCTCTCTTTTTACACAATAGGAATATCAGCATGCAGGTTATACTGTGCCAGAGGGGGGGGAGTAGTTTTACCAATGGAATGAATGAAAATTAGACACTAATTAGAAATTTAAAACATCATTATTTTGACCTATAATTATGTTAACTCATATGGGTGTCAATATGCATGACTTCTACTTTGGACATTTCATTGCCTGGGGTTTTTAGAAACGCAGCATTGCAGTAGCTGGATTGTGGAAGGGCTTTCCAGTTTGACCTGTTAGCTATGACACAATAAAATGAAAACTACTGTCCAACAAAGTTTCTCAGAAAACATTTTCTTTCAGTTAAATCATTTTGTTTATTTGGCATGGCTTAATGTAAAGACATATTACATTGTGATGTCATTTTGATATTCAGTTGGCTCATGCTGTTAATCTGTGTGGGCCTTTTATATGTGTATCATCTTGCCTGTTGTATTGTAGTTACTTAAGAAGTACCTGGGTCACTTTGACACAATTTGTACAGAGTTTGAATGCTTGTAAAGATAAGAAGTATATAATTGTGCTAAATGC